AACTCATCATTTGGGCAAATCACTCTTTTAAGATTTATAATACTGGGAGCATTTGAGATCTTGCTTCCTGGCATGTCCTCTGGTTGGCTCAAATAAACTCATAAAATGTATTTTACTAGTAAAAGATTTATAACACTGATGAAAATTTAGCCCAGCGGGTGTGGCTCAGTGGTTGAGCATCGACCTATAAAACAGGAGGTCACAGTTCAATTTCCAATCAGGGCACATACCTGGGTTGTAGGCTTGATCCCCAGTAGGAGGCGGGCAGAAGGCAGCTGATCGATGATTCTCTCTCATCATTGATGGTTCTCTCTCTCCCTTTCCCTTCTTCTCTGATATAAAAAAAAAATTAAAAAGAAAATTTAACCAGAAATAAAGACTCAAGACAATTTGTCACCAAAAGTTTGAAATCACTTATTGAGTGTGTAGGTGATGATTTGCTCTGATCTTCATGCTCCCTTTTCAGGATTAACTTAAAATCCCATAACTCTAACATGAAAGAATTGGCAGATGTGAAAGGATGGATATAGGAGCCGTATTTTTTGTTTGTTTGTTTGTTTTGTTAATCCTTACCTGAGGATATTTTTTCCATTGATTTTTCAGAGAGAGAGTGGAAGGAGTGGGAGAGGAAGAAAGAGGGGAGAGGAGGGGAGGGGAGGGGAGGAGAGGAGAGAAACACTGATGTGAAAGACACATCAACGGTTGTGTCCTGCACTCGCTCTGACTGGGGTGGGGATCCTGCAACCGAGATACAACCCTCTATCTGTATGAGGATCTCAGGTTAGAGCATTAGCCAGAACCACAATCCTATGGCTCCTGGCCCTGGCTGATGCTCTAACCACTGATCCACACCAGCCAGGGCAGGAGTCATATTTTATTTCTGTTGCAAGCCTCAGGGCCATTTCTGTTCATGGCTCCCAGAAAGTCCCTCAGCTCTCACAAGCTGCATCCTTGTGAGATGTTCCCATGCCAAAGCCAAGCCGATAAATTAACACAGAGAAGGCAGAGTCAGGGATCAGATTCTCATTTGAAATTATCACTTCCTAGGGGCTTTCATGGGGATGTGTGTTAAAACACAGTCCATTCATGGATTTCCAATTGATTTAAAAACTTGATTCCTTAAAGGCAACCCAAATAACAAACCATAGGAGCTAGTGCTCCAAGTCTGAGCTGCACATCTGCTTGCAACCAAGAGGGTGTGGATCAGAGAGAATGCTGCTGTTTCTCAGTAAACTTGTTTCCTATAATTCTAGTATATTCTACTACTATAAATTGGTATAGTCTGATAAAACTAAGCCTGCCATATCCATGAGTTAACATGGCATGCGAGGAGCACTTTCTGATCACTAGCAGCTCTAATCTTGAGTCCATCTAGCCAGTCCTCTAAGGGAGAAGCGTGTCTGGCCCCCTGTGTCCTCCCAGCCTCTGCTGAGCTAACAGCTGGAAAACTGAGAGGTGAGGTGGAAGCTAGGGCCTCTCGGATTGAGCAGTGGACACTGCCCCACACATCGCAGTTTCTAGAAAGCAAGTGACTTCTCTCTATGCCTGTCCTCCAAGCCAGGTTCTGGGGAGCAGTCTACACAGAGAAAGAGAGAGGACAGCAAGCCACTCTGATGTCGGGGTGCTGCCAAAACAGTCTGAAAAGAACAGGGATGAGGCTAAAACATTACCTTCTATTTCAGATTAGCCCACTACCAAAATAGGAAGATTTTTCTAATTGAAAATCAATCAGTGTAATTTATCATATTAACAGTCTAAAGAAAAAAACAACCTCATGCCCTGACCAGTTTGGCTCAGTGGATAGAGCCTCGGCCTGTGGACTGAAGGGTCCCAGGTTCGATTCCGGTCAAGGGCATGTACCTTAGTTATGGGCACATCCCCAGTAGGAGGTGTGAGGAGGCAGCTGATCGATGTTTCTCTCCCATCGATGTTTCTAACTCTCTATCTTTCTTCCTTCCTCTCTGTAAAAAATCAATAAAATATATTTTTTAAAAAAACAACAAACAAAAAAAATACAACCTCATGATCAATAAAGAAAAAGCATTTGACAGAGCTCAACATCCAAAAACTCTCTGAAAACTAGGAATAGAAGGTAACTTCCTCAGCCCGAAATAGGGCATTTATGAAAACCTACAATTAACATCATACTTAGCAGTAAAAGATGAAAAGATTTCCCCCCAAGACTGGGATCCAGGAAAGGATGTCCACTCACTGCTCCTATTCAACATAGTAGAGTTCTAGCCAGCAAAAAAAGGCAATAAAAAAAAATGTTATCCAGATTGAAAAGGAGGAAGGAAAATTGGTCCTATTTGCAGACAACAAAAAACTCTTAGAACTAAAAAGTGAGTTCTACAAGGTTGCAGGACAACAGTCAAAAATCAACCGTATTTTCACATACTCACAATGAACAGTTAGAAACTGAATTAAAAAATCAATACCACTGCTCTGTATGTTCTAGGTTGGGGGCTGTCTGCACGTAAGGCAAGAAGATGGTGGCTGCAAAGACAATGAAAGTTGTTGGAGTCGATCAACTCTAGGCTCCAATTTGTTACGTAAAGTGAAAAGTACATGCTGGGGTACAAACAGACCCTGAAGATGATCAGGCAAAGTGAAACTGGTCATCCTCATCAGCAACTGTTCAGCCTTGAGGAAATCTGAAATAGTGGACTATGTCATGGTGTCCATCACTACAGTGGCAGTAATGCTGAATTGGGCACAGCATGTGGAAATACTAGAGTATGCACACTGGCTATCATTGATTTAGGTGATTCTGGTATCATAAAAAGCATGCCAAAACATATTAGTGAAAAGCAAATCATGCAAGATTTTTCTTTAATAAAACTGGCCAGCGCTTGGTTTAAAAAATAATTTACAAAAATACAATAAAGACCAATACCACTTACAATAGCTCCAAAAACATGACATACTTAAGAATAAGCCTAATAATATGTGTATAGGATCTGCACATTAAAAATTACAAAATGCTGATGAAAGAAATAAAAGAAGACCTAAGTAAATGGGAAAGCATACCATGTTCATGGACTGACGACCCAACTCAATTCTCCCCCAAACTGACATACAGGTTTAATGCTGTTTAATCAAAACCTACCAAGAATTTTTTATAGATATAGAAAATTCTAAATTTATATAAATAGCTTACACAATACCAAAGAAAAATAAAGTTGGAGGAATCACTCACTATAAAGCTATAGTAATTAAGAACAGGCACATAGATCAATGAAACAGAACAGAATGTCTGGAAACAGATCCACACATGACCAATTGATTTTTGACAAAGATGCAAAAGTGATCCAATGGAAGAAGGACAGTCATTTCAGCAAATGATGCTGGAACCACTGGTGGTTTCATATGCATAAAAATAAACCTCGACCTAAACCTTCCATCTTATAGAAAAGTTAACCCAAATGAAGCAGATCTAACTACAAAATGTAAAACTATAAAACTTTTCAAAGAAAATAGGAGGAAATTTTTATGATCTGGGGATAGGCAAAGAGTTCTCAGGCATGGCATCAAAAGTGTGATCTTTTCAAAAAAGAAAAATTAATAAATAAGACTTTACTTTAAAAAAATTCTTTTTTTCTGCAAATGACACTTGTAACAGAATGAAAAGACACTATAAAAACTGGGAGAGAATATTTGCAAGTTGCTTATCTAACAGGGGACTTATAAAGAACACAAAGAATTTTCAAAATTTAACAATAAGAAAACTAACAATACAGTTTAAAAAATAGGCAAATGACGGGAACTGACACATCACCAAAAGCATATACAAGGCAAATGAGCACGTGAAAAGCTGCTTACCATCATTAGCAATTAAGAAAATGCAAGTTACAACCACAATGAGATACCACTACACACCTATCAGAATGGCTAAAATGAAAAAATGCCGACAACAAGGAGTGCTGGCGAGGAGTGGAGCAACAGGCGCTCTCACACATCACTGGGGAAATGTGAAATGGTACGGCCACTGGAGGAAACTGTTGGTGATCTCTGATAAAGTTAAATACACACTTACCGTATCAACCAGCAATCCTCTCGTAGCTATTTACTCAAAAGAAAGGAAAACATATGTCCATACAAAAACCTGTCGGTGAGGACTGATTGCTGCATTATTCATAATCGCCCAAAACTGGAAATCTCCCCAACTGCCCTCAACTGGTGAATGGATAGGTAGGAATACTACTCCGTTATGAAGGAGGAGGAATTACTGGCTCATGCAACAACCTGACTGGATCTCAAAGATGCCACACTGAGTTAAAGAAGCGGAACTCAGAAGGTCATTACTGAATGATTCTGTTCATACAACAGTCCCGGAAAAACAAACCTCTAGTGATGGAGAAAGGGTCAGTGGGTGCCAGGGGTTGTGGGTGAGGGGCGGTCATGACTGCAAATACCAGGAGGGAGTTTAGGGGAGACCAACCATCAGGATCCTGACTGTGGCAGTTGTTACACAAACGTGCATGTGTGTCAAAACTCAGGGCTGTACACACAGGAAAGTCACACAGCTCTGTATTTATTTACAAAGTAAAAGTAAATATGGAAACTAGAGTTTTGAAAGGTAAGTTTTTAAAGCAGATGCTGTTTTGGACAGGAGCATGGCGGGAGCAATTCGGCATAGCTCCTAAGAGAAATTTCCTCTTGTTTATTCAGTCTAGTTTCATATGGGTGGACAGACCTAAGCCTCTCGGAGGCTGATAATAATGATGACATCAGCAGCAGCACATACAGGTATGGAGTTCTTCTTACAAATATGCAGTGTTCGTAATAGCCCATGATGGAAGATTAACGTTTTTGTGGTTTTTTTTAAACCAGTGGAGGAACTGAGGTTCAAAGAAGCTGAGACTTGCCTTGGGTCACAGGGCCTGGCTAGGGCCGGCAGGGCTCCCTTCCAGGGCTCCAGCTGCCTTCCGCTCACCATCCCTACTTCTACTGCTAGTCTATCCAGGGTCTAACCTGTTGCCCGAGAGCCTCGTACATACCGTTGCTGGAGACGACCGGGAAGTGTGGGCCAGCGAGTGTCTGGTGCTGTCCATCCCCCCGTGGATGAGATAGGCTCCTGTGCTGGAGATAATGGGGCTCCCCCCGACATCCATGGTGATGCCCACCATGCTGTGGGAGGGGACTGCTGTCGGCGAGGAGCCTGCCACGGTCACCTGGGCATCGCCCGGGGCCTCGAAGTAAGATGCTGCGCTGCTTGTGGCATACATTGGAGGCTCGGGGTTATAGGCATAGGCCGTCCGCCTGTCAGAAAGAGAGAATGTGCCTCCTCTGAGTCTGGAAGGAATCCTGCAAAACTTCATGTCAAAGTGGAAGCCTGATGAGACTGAACATTTGGGGTAAGTCAGACACCAAACGCCTATGCAGCACAGAGTTCAAAGCAATCGTCTGAAAATATTCAGGATCACATGCGGACTCATCAAAAACCGATCATTTAAAAATTCTCAGTATGAAGGGGTCATATGAGGGAGCTCCTTCATGGAGATGGAACACTTCTGTGTCTTATTATGGTTATGTGAAATTTATACATGAGCCCCAGCTGGTTTGGTTCAGTGGATAGAGCGTCGGCCTGCGGACTAAAGGGTCCCAGATTCGATTCCGGTCAAGGGCACATGCCCGGGGTTGCGGGCTCGATCCCCAGTAGGGGGCGTGTAGGAGGCAGCCAATCAATGATTTTCTCTCATCATTGATGTTTCTATCTCTCTCTCCCTCTCTCTTCCTCTCTGAAATCAATAAAAAAAATATGTATTTTAAAATTTACACGAGAAAAAATGGCACAGAACTACACACACACACACACACACACAGGAGTCAAAACTGGTGAAATGGAATAAGACCCATGGGCTAGTTAACAGTTCTGTCCCAGTGTTACTTTCCTGCTATTGTCCTACAGTAATACTCAAAAAAGATGTTACCACAGGGGGGACTGGGTGAAGGGTCTCCCATTTTGCAACTTCCTGTAAGTCTACGATTCTATCAAAAAAGGTTAAAAAATGAAATTGCATAATAAAAAGAAATTTCTAAGTGATATGAAGAATTTGTCTAATATTACTTTAACATCTGGATTAAATGCTTAGCTAACTATGTATGTCATCCCATAAAGTTTTAAGTTCCACTCCAGTAATGCTGGCCATAGCAAAAGGCAGCTGGTAATGGTTTCTTTTTGGTGGTAACTAAAGGCTATGACCTGTCCTGAGGGAAGGCCCCCCTAGGTGGCAGGTGGCCCCAACCTCTGGGAGGTGTGCACTCCCATCCTGACCCCCAGTGACATCATATTTAACTGTAATACAATCGAACCCAAGAACTCGACATTGGTACAATCTACACACCTTGCTCAGATGTCATGGGTTTGACACACACTCACATGTGTCTGTGTATGTATTAGAACCTTCAGTGTTGTACTGTAGAAGCTCACACAGCTCCTTAACCACAGCCACACTCTCATGCTTGATCCCTGAACTTTCAAAGGGGAGTTGTCAAAATCAAAAGAACAAAAGGACTTATGTCTTGAGTCCAATGAGCTTCCCGAGAAATGTGTTATTTTCTGCCCCAAGAATTACATAGTTCACAAGCAGAAAACCCTGTAAGTCCCTGACAAATAAAAAATCAAGTCATATCAACATCATAAGCCAGAGGTTAACGAAGGCCAGGAGGAGAAAGCAGAGATAGAGATGGCTTCTGAATTGTGAAGACTGAATCTTTAGACTTGGGTTACGGTTTGTTTTTCTTAAGACTACCTTTTCTAGAAGTAAAAACTACACAGTGTATGATTTCTGAAATCTCCATAGGACTGTGATGACCTAATACCACAGTAATGGTTCCAACATAGCACCCAAAGGATAAGGGGGAGGGATTTGTGCAAACACATCCCCAAAAGGAAAAAGGTGGGAGAGTCGTGAAGGAAGGTTCCAGACGTGGCCTGAGGTTCTCTGTGAGGACCCTTCCGAGGGCAGGGGAAACCACGTACAAGGCACCATTCGTGTAGACGGCGTCTCCGCCCTCCACGTACTGCACTTGGGATGGGTACACGTGTTGCACAGTCTGGACCTGAAACATCAGATATTTCGTGTTACACACAGTATAGTCTACTTCTTCATGACTTTCCATCATTCAAGCTGAAAATAACTTGGACTGCCTTTTATTAACATTAAGTACTGCATGACAGTTGGCACGTCTTGAAAGAAATAGGAGAGGCAGTCCTGATCCACTGCTATGCTTGAGGGAAGCCAAGTCCATGGTGCCTGTTCCGTGGGGGAAGGAGCCAAATCGACAGCCAGGAAGGGCCCTGGGCCCTGCCAGCCACTGGGTAAAAGGGTTGGTAATGCTGGACAGTGGAAATCAGAGTATGGACAGAACGCCAACCTCTGAGCACTGGACTTGTCATCCACACCCAAGGACAGGGCAGAGGGCTAAGCTGGTCACTGTCTACATGTCCCCCTCATGCCCCCTTAGTGTGGCCCTGGTGCCCCTCCCCAGCAGGAGGGCAGGGGTCCTGGAGCCACACTGGGGAGAGACTGAAGGTCTGAGCAGAACTAGAAGAAGCGATGGGCCTCGAGTGAGAGATGTAAACCGAGGGTGATGGGAGGACCACAGAACAGCCCTACCTGGTCCCTGTCAGTGCAGCGCCTCAGCTAATGGCCCACAAAGGACGCTGGCTCTGGTGGTAGAGGCCCAGAGCTCTGCATGGAAGACTTCAGAATCTCACCACAGAGGGAACCTTACCCAATGCCTAATTCAACCTCATTTTGGGGTAACAAAATTAAAGGCTGGGTCCCATCGTGACCTCTCTCTAGGCCTGTGTGTGGAGCTGATTCTACCTCCGAGGACAACCCAGCACGGATACACTCATACATGCTTAACTCCTGGAGTAAGAGCCTATCATGAGGAGTCCAGGGATTACCATGCTGAGTGGGCTTTGCCTTAGGGGACCGAGTGAAATGCACAAGTCACTCCACAAGTCTGAGTTGCCCAAAGAGAAAGTGATGGTGCAGGTCGAGCCCCACAGATGGGGGAAGCTTCTGGAATCATGACATTAGCCTCCATTTCCCTCCCTCGAGGAGCTAAGGTTCCCTTCTGGGCCTGCTCAGAACCTTTGTTTCTCCCTGACCTCATAAGCCTCCCCTGGTTCACCCAACACACACTGCTCATCTGAACAGGAACCCCTGAAGAAAGAAGCGTGTACTCTGGGGTCTCGGCCATCTCTCTATTTCACTCATGGTCCCTCCCTTTCAGGCAGGACCCTGCACAGATTTTAATTCAGCATCTTTCAGAGCACCAGCCGGCCCTTGGGCCAGATCTGGCTTGCCTGTTTTTTGTAAATAAAGTTTTATTGACACACAGCCATGCCCCTTCTTTTTACATCTATGGCTGCTTCTAGAGACAAGGCAGAGTTGAGTGGCTGTGCAAGACACTACTTGGCCTGGAGAGCCAAAAAAAAAGGCACTAATTGGCCTTTTCCAAAAAAGGGCTGCTGACCACTGTCCTACATCCCACTGACTGACTGAGCTGATGGTCTGTGCTGTTCTTTGGTGGGTGAGCCCACACTTTCGAGGTTTCTTCCCAGATAATTTGATCTCACAAGAGGCGCTTCCTTGGTCATGGCTCTCGTCTGAGGGTATAACACTTGCCTGCAGAGGGGTTTGCCTCCCCAGGAGGTTCTGTGTTCCTAATAATCCAGAACCTTTGCTATCTGTTTGCATGTCTAGCTCAGAACCCAGTGCTATATCAAGGGGCTGGCTTACGACTCATGCATTGAATTTCTGAATGAATGAAAGATCACAGTTGTCTTGGTTTGCTGCAAAACTGTTTGAAGTGAAAGATCTTTAAAAAAAACATAGAACCTTCTGGTAAGGAACTGAAGACATTAAAGAAGGAGCAGCAATGACAGAAAAGAATACATAACACAGAGAGGCCTCCAGATCACATGTGCTGTGGTTACCTGCTGTGGCACCTGCTGGATTCTGGGGAGGGAGATTGGCTGCATCTGGGCCCCTTTGGAAGCCGAGCCCGTTGCCTGGACCAGCACCCTCTAAAAGGGAAGGAGAGAGGGACATTCAGACTTGTCAGGCCTTGGGCTTGCAAACAAACACAGAATATAACCACAGCTACTGCCGCCTGGCCTGCTGTTGCTTTATTGGACACACAGAACTGAAAATGTGAAGGATCAAATGAACGCCAGAGTCAAAAGAGAATCAGAAGTGCTTTGTCTACATAAAGCTGGGGCTTTAGAAATCAATGACTTCAATTCTGTGATTTTCCAAAGTGGACCCTAAATGTCACTGGTCATGGTGATTCTGCAGTGCTTTGCCTTCTAAACACCACTGTATAAAAAGAGATCAACAGGGACTAGACATTCTATGAGCTCGCAATCAAAGACAAAAAGAACATAAATGGTGCAAATCTCAATGGATGAATGGATATACACAATGTAGTCTCTCCTCACAATGAAATATTACTCAGCCCTGAAAAGGAGGAAAGCTGATAGGTGCTACATGTGGATGAACCTTGAACACATAATGCTCAGAGAAGCCAGACACAAAATTGCCTTATGATTCCATTTATATGAGATGTCCAGAGCAGGCACATCCACAGATACAGGAAGTAGGTTTATGGTTGTCAGAGGCTGGGGAGGGGGATGAGTGACTGCTATGGGAGACAGGGTTTCTTTTTTGGGAGTGATAAATGTATGAAAAATGCTACTTCTTTGTTTGCTTTATAATGGTGAATTTTACATGATGTGAATTTCACCTCGATTAAGTAAGTAAGAACATTAAGGATTTGCATTCATACGCTCTAAAGCTGAGCGGTCCAATACGGTAGCAGTAGCTACTAGCTGTATGGCCATGTGGCCATTTCCATTTCATTCTATTTAAATAAGCTGTAAATTCAGTTCCGCAGGTATACTGGCCACATTTCCACTGCTCAGAGCCACGTGGAGCTGGTGGCAGAACACATCTGTGTCTGCTTAGTGGGTAGTTGTGTTGGGTAGTGTAGGAGGGCTGAGAGGGAAAACATGGACAATGCACCATAGGAACTGAGCTGCAAGAATTCCTCCTTCTGACAAGGAAGCCTGGGGTGTTCATTGTTCAGGGAACAAAACACAGCTTGTGGAGAGGGTGCTGGAGGAAAGGGAGTCCCCTGCATAGGCAGTGGGGAGGCTCAGCTTTGAGCAACAGACAGTGTATGTGGGGACAGAAGGGGAAAGGGTGTGGATGTTGCCAAGGGGGAGCGGGGCACCTGGATGCATCTCTAGCAGGGACGGAAGCCCTGGAACCTGGGAGAGACACAGTGGCCATAGCAGGACCCATTTCACCCACTCCCATGCCTCATCTGGCAACCACCAATCTATCCTCTATCTATGAGCTTAATGTGTGGGTTTTTGTTGTTGTTTCACATATAAGTGAGATCATATGGTATTTGTCTGACATCTCATTTAGCATAATTCCCTGTAGGTCCCTCCATGTGATTGCAAATGGCACAATTTCATTCTTTTTATGGCTGAGTAATATTCCATTGTATCTATGTATCACATCTTCTTTACCAATTGTCTGGATGGACACTTAGCTTGTTTCCATATCTTGGCTATTGTAAATAATGCTGCAATGAACAAGGGGCACAGATATCTTTTTGAGTTACGGTTTTTATTTTGACACAGCCTTAATGTAAAAATTCTCTCCAAAAATCCTATATAATAAAAGCCTAATATGCTAAGTGTCAGGTCGTCTGTTCAACCAATCAAAGCATGATATGCTAATGATATGCTAAGGCCGCTCAACCGCTTGCTATGACGTGCACTGACCACCAGGGGGCAGACACTCCAACCGGTAAGTTAGTTTGCTGCTGGTGTCTGGCCGATTGGGACTGAGTGAGATGAGCCAGACACACCCTGAAGCCCTCCTGTGGTCCCTCCTTGCTGGCCAACCTCCTGCGTCCCTCCCTGGCCCCGATTGTGCACTGGTGGGGTCCCTTGGCCTGGCCTGCACCCTCTCGCAATCCAGGACCCCTTGGGGGATGTCGGAGAGCTGGTTTTAGCCCGAGCCGCAGGCTAGGCCAAGGGACCCCACTGGTGCACAGATTTGTGCACTGGGCCTCTAGTTGTATTTCTTTTCCTTTTTTTCCTCTTTTTTTTTGGGGGGGGGGCTCTAGTTTTAAATATATCCATTCTAATGCTAGATTCAATTGTGAACCAATACTGAGAATTTTCACTTATCATTTGCCTTACCCATAAAGTCTTTCTGTGTAAAAAGGTCATTCCCAAGGTAGAAGAAAACTTCCCTTAAAAGAGAAGAACAAACTAAGTCAGATTTGGTGGGGGAGACAGAGAAGGTGCAGCTATTTCAACAGCTCTAACTTTGGGCTGAGAAGGCAATTCAGGAGAACACAGATTCCTCCCTGCTGAGTCAAGTGCTTTTCAAAACCACAGTGGATACAACCACACTGGCCACACTGATCTTCCCTGGCTGGTCTGTTACCTGCGGGGAGGCTGGCACTGGCTGGGCCACAGGCGCCTGGGCGGCCGCTGATGAGCACAGAGCCACAGAAGCTGGTGAGTCCGCTGCACCCTCTGAACTCTGCATGCTCAGTTCTGAAGAGAGGCGGAGAGAGGGTGAGCGGGCAGGGCTGCAGTCATGAGGCCCACAGAGGCAACTGCAGATGCAGACAGGACAGGCGAGTGGGAGTTCCCGATAGCCTTCCAGGTTCAGAGCAGGGATCCGGCCAAGCTGGGTAAAGAACAGGGAATAGGTGGCATAATTATTCCAAAGAAAGGGAGAGGGGTGGGGGCAGGGGCTGTTCTTCCAAATATTAAACCAAAAAGTAGCCCTGCAGGAGTTCCTTAGAGGCATGCGGGGACAGTTGTCACTGTTTGTCCCTGTTCCAGGCTGCTCAGGGTGAACTATTTTCAGGACTCATGGAACTGTTTACTCATGTACCCAGCAAGCCAAAAGCCCCTGGTGGGTGCTTTCTGTTTGGGGAGCTTGGCAAATGATTCTCCTCAGGCAGGGTCTCTCCCCTTGGCCCTGTGACACTGGGGCTGGATCACTGTCTAGGGGGCTCCTGGGCACTGAGGGGTGTTGAGTAGCATCCCTGACCCCCACCCGCTAGATGCCAGAAGCACCCCCTCCTCAGGTGGCGATAATAAAAAATGTCTCCAGACATTATCCAGTGTCCCCTGGGGGCAAAACTGTCTCCCAGTTGAGAACCACTGACCTAGGGAGAAAAAAGGTGATGTACAGTGACAGTTAAGAAACACTGTGCTAGGCTGGGTACAAGTCCTCAGGAATGTCAGCAATAAGTCAAAATTGCCCTCTGTACCTAGAGATCTTTGCCCACAAGAAAGCATAAGAATGTATTTCTTTGTAGCCAGATGCATATGTCTTGTAATAGGTAGATTTAAAATTCGCTACCAAAAGACCCAATATCAGAACAAAGTGGCAAATGATACAAAACCATTCTATAAAATGCAGAAAGTCAAACTGTCTTCAATTTTAAATAAACTACTGGCTACCTTAAGCATTTGAGAGGCAGTGAAATACACAAACTGCAGAGAGAGGAGTCCCTATCCTGTCCCTATCCTGCAGTCCCTATCCTGTCCCGGCCCCAGTTCTGAGCATGCCACCCTTAAGAGTGGAGTCTCCTGGCTTCTGCCTCACATGCAGGCCTGAATGGCACAGCACACATCCCAGTGCCCAGGATACAGTGCCAGAACTTGCATGTTTCTCTATCACCCCAAGAGTTCCCAGCTGCAAGAATGAATAAACATTTTTTTTCAAAGCCTTTTTTTTTTTTAGTGCAGAAAACAACTGGTAACCATAAAATAATTTGTCGAAGGGAAGTAGAAAGGGATATGTGTGAGTTTGAATCCAAATGTGTTAGTTTAATCTCATCTTTATTGACGGATTATTCCATGACTTTCTCTAGTCCCCTGTCCACAAGCCTTTGGTACCACGAGAGCCACTGGTTAGATCTGTGGTCTGTGTCTGTGGCATCTTTGTTTCCTGTGAGCCTGACTCAGGTGCAAACACTAGATGTCCCCAGCACCCCATGGTGACTGGCAACTCCTCCTTAATTTGCCTTTTTCAGAGAAGATTATGGCTTTCTAGTCCTGTGTTTCCAACTCTCTCTGCCTTCCTGACAGAAGAGCCTGTTACCTACGGGCTCTTTGAGCAGGTATTACTTTGGAATATTCTGTTGGAAATTGCTTAACCGAGGTCTCTTATTTACAGTTTTCCCTAACACTTAAATCAGTCATTTACACTCTATATACCACTTTGTTCCCATTTAAAGCCAAGAAGTGGGTAACTTCAGTGACACTAGGAGGAGATAAGTGGACTAGAACTCGTGAAAAGAATCTACTAGCAACAAAGTGAGAAAGCTGACTTCACTGAGATCACTTCTTTGTTCCAGAGGCAGAAATAATTTTATTCCAAAGTCTAAGCCTCAGTGAAGCAAGGAGAGGTGTGAGAGTGTTGAGGATGGATAGTGAGTCCATGGCTCAGCTTACTGTGGCCAGAATACACTTTCCAGAAAACAAGTTATTCCGTATCATGGAGTTTTCATGCTAATGTGTTCCCTGGTTTAACACACTATTTACTAGGCACTGTCTGAGTTAATTGCATTGTTCAGCTTATATTGTTTAGGCCAGGATCAGCACACTTTTGCTGTAAAGGACCAGAGACATTTTGGTCATTTAGTCTCCACGGCAACTACGATACATTGCCATCATGGCACAACAGCAGCCTTTGCTGACATGTAAATAAATGATCTTGGCTGTATTCTAATAAAACTTTATTTCCAAATACAGGCAATGGGCAAAGGTTGCTGGTGCTCGGTCCACATAATCTGGGTTTGATAAAGTGATGTCGTTTTGGAAGATGGGTAGAAAAATCACACTGTCTTGATTCAAAACCTGGAAGTCCACAGGCCCTTGATCTAGTGCAGTGATGGCGAACCTTTTGAGCTCGGTGTGTCAGCATTTTGAAAAACCCTAACTTAACTCTGGTGCCGTGTCACATATAGAAATTTTTTGATATCTGCAACCATAGTAAAACAAAGACTTATATTTTTGATATTTATTTTATATATTTAAATGCCATTTAACAAAGAAAAATCAACCAAAAAAATGAGTTCGCGTGTCACCTCTGACACGTGTCATAGGTTCGCCATCACTGCCCTAGTGCATAGTTCTTGTGGCCATATCTCACCAACAGGGCAGGGATGGAGGGGGCTGCAGAGGGTGACGCAGATTGTGAGGAGGGTGGAGCTGCTAACATTTAAAGACAAATGGAAATATCAAACACTGGGCTGAAATGACAACAATGGTGCTCTAAAGCTTATGAAGTCAAATTGATTCACCAAACCGTGGAACCCCAGAAGCCAGGTGCAGCCCTTAAAACTTAAGGCAGGAGTTTGGGCACAATGGACAGATAACTTTGGGGAGTTGTAGTGCATTGAATAGTGTCTCCTCAAATTCATGTCCACCTGGAATCTCAGAATATGATTTTATTTAGAAATAGTGTCTTTGCAGATATAATCAAGGTAAGGATTGAGATGAGACCATACTGGATTAGGGCGGGCCCTAAATCAAATGACAGAGCTCTTATGAGAGACAGAAAGGACACACAGGGAAAAGGCCGCGTGAAGACAGAGCAGAGATGGGAGTGATGTAGCTGCCAGCCAAGAGACAACCAGGATTGCTGGGAGCCCCCCAAAGCTGGAAGCGGCAGGAAGGATTCTCCCCTACAGAGATCATGACCCTGCCAACACTTTCCAGTCTCTGGAACTACAAAAGGATAAGTTCCTGATGTTTCAAGCCACCCAGTTTGTGTTACCCATACACCCAACTCAATAGGGGTCCATAAGATGAGGAGCACAAGGAACCAGTAGGGACCAGGGCATATCACAAGATAGTTTTGGTGTAGTGCTTCAGTGTCATGCACAACTCAGGCAGTTGGCACATACTGATCAAATGAATGAACACTTTCGTAACTCCCCAGTATTACATCTGATATTGAATTATATAAAACTAGTTAGTGAGACTGTGAGAATCTGTGACAGAACTTTATAAGACAGATAATAATACACAGATTCATATTTCAAAAGGCAGTACAGGTGGAAAATATAAATAAGTTCATAAAGGCTTCAGAAAATTTAAAATCTACTTTTAGGATGTCTGGGACTATTTTGGGAAATGTAGTGACCTTTGGAGACTGACTGCTCTACTCTCCCTGAACACCTCCCTTGATGCTAGTATCAGACACACAGACTGACACACCGTGTGAGCCAGCTTGGCTGCTCCGATATATTAACATACAACACGCCAGTCTACAGAGAGCATGGAATCCTTCCTTACCTACCTGAGATAATGTTGTAGGTTGCACATAAGCTGATCCAGTTTTCTGAAATAAAGAAAAAAATGGGGTTCATTCATCAAAGGCTCTTAGCGCATCAAAGTTTAGGATTTTTAAAAAAGGTTTTTAAAAGACATGCAAAAGAGCGCTGTAATGGTGGGGCAGATTGGTTGGACTAACCCTCGTACAGATAACAATGATAAAATATGGGCAAAATATTTTTGAAAGAAGAACTATTTAAAGTCACTGGCTATGCTGCGGGGTGGAAGCGGGCAGGGAGAGGTGAATGGGGAAAAAGGAGACATATGTAATATTTTCAACAATAAAGAATTTAAATTAAAAAATAAAGTCACTGGAAGGTGACCAAAGCAGGCAGACACTGCGGGGAGTTCATCCCTGAAATACCACTGTCACAAGTTCAGATCAGCAACTCTGTGGCTTTTGGCCCTGGGGGCCACCTCAATCCACAAATGCTAGGGTAGCAGAAAGCAGCAGCTTGTTGTGTTGAAGCATCAGAGGAGAAATTCAGAATGTTGGGAGGGAATCCTAGAAGAGAGAGAGGCACAGAGGGGACGAGCCCCCAGATGCAACTACAGAGGCCACCCACATCTTTTCTTTCTTTTTATCCTCACCCCAGGATATCTTTTTATGGATATGAGAAAGAGAGAGAGAGAGAGAGAGAGAGAGAGAGAGAGAGAAATGTTGATGCAAAAGAAAAACATTGATGGGTTGCCTCCCACATGTGCCCCGACCAGGGATTGAATCAGCGACCTTTCAGTGCATGGAATGACACCCAAACAACTGAGCCACACTGGCCAGAGCACACCCAAATCTTTAAACCACACGTGTGTGGGAGACACCAGGGACCTTGGAGAAAAAAAACAGCAGTTTGAATATGAAAAAAAAAAAACACTAAGAAAAGATTTCAGCTGTTGCCCACTCGGGAGTGACAGAGTTTGAGCCCAGCCAAGTTAAATGCTACCAGGGGAACATGGCAGAATCCAGAGATAATATAACATATTTTTCATGCTATCCATGACCCAATAAAAACTGTTGCTGTGAGAAGAAAAAGGATACTGTCATCCATCCTCAAGGAGAAAAAAAAGGAATCAATTATAAGAAAACCAATCCAAGTGATGCAGATAAAGCAGCTACTAAAAATATGCTCAGGAATTTAAAGGAAATGATAAGTACAATGAATGAACATGTGAGAATTTCAACCAAGGAAGAGAAACTATAAAAAAGAACCCAATAGCCAAAACTGGTTTGGCTCAGTGGATGGAGCGAAAAAATAAAAATAAAAATAAATAAAATAAAAAAGAACCCAATAGAAATTCTGGAGCCCTAGCCAGATTGGCTCAGTAGACAAAGCGTCGGCCAGCAGACTAAAGGGTCCTGGGTTCGGTTCCAGTCAAGGGTATATACCTCGGTTGCAGGTTTGATCCCCGGCCCTGGTCGGGGCACATGCAGGAGGCAACCAATCGATGTCTCTCTCACATTTATGTTTCTCTCTGTCTCTTCCCCTCCCTTCCACTCTCTCTAAAAACCAATGGAAAAATATCCTCTGGTGAGGATTAACAAAAAACAAAAAACAAAAAAAAAAAGAAAAGGAATTCTGGAGCTGAAAAGAAATTTCACTGAAATGGAAATTTCTCTGGATATGTTTAATAGCTGATTATCAGAGATGGCAGAAGGAAGAGTCAGTAAACTTAAAGATAGATCAATAGAATTTACCCAATCAAAAGAACTGAGGGGGAAAAAATAAAGAGAAATAAGAAGTCTAATGTACATGTAATTGGAGTGCCAGAAGAAAAGGAGAGAATGAGAGAGAGAGGAGATATATTTAAAGAGTGACTAAACATCACTTAATTTGGTGAAAGGCATCAACTTACAATTACAAGAGGCTCAGTGAACCCTAAGAATAAATAAAAAGAAAGCCAATTGAGGTGCTATTAAACTGCTAAAATGAGAGAGAGAAGAGAGAGAGAGAGAGAGAGAGAGAGAGAGAGAGAGAGAGAGAGAGAGAGAGAGAAACATTGGTCGGTGGCCTCCCGCATGCTAGGTATGTGCTCTGATCGGGAATCAAAGTCACAACCTTTTGATGTACTGGATGACATTCCAACCAACTGAGCCATTAGGCCAGGACAATGCAAGAATGTTTTATTGCTGGTTTGCCATGCTAGCAGCCCTTGAAGAGCACTAGTTCCAGCAGTCCTTCCAGATGGTGTGAGGCTGGAGTGACTCCACCTGGTAGAACATGAAGCAGCAGGGGAAGGGAGGTGACAAGGCACCAATTGGCCACATCCAACATGAAGTTTGAGAATCCCCTGTTCCCACTCAGCAGGGTCAGGCTCCTTGGTGATCAAGGTCACCCTAGAACAGTCTCATAGATATGAATGCATGTCTGTGCTTCTGTTCTGAATGTAAACTTGCAATAAGAACTGGGAGCCATTCAGTCTGTCTCTGTTACATTCATTTGTCCTCTCTCCTGTTTTTCTTCCCAAGGCAGGAACCAAAGCATTCTTTCTCCGATTCCCTTCATCTGTGGCCCCTCTAGACTGGGGTCCAGAGGCCTTAGGTGGACCAACACAATGGAGAGGGGCCTCAAACACGACCCAGCCTGGCCAGGTAGGCCCAAAGCTCCTGGTTGCTCAGAAACACACCTGGTGTGTTGTTTATAAGCCGAGCACTTTTCATTTGTCATCTGGTCCAAGATAAGAGCAGACTGGAGAAATAAGTGGGAAAGCACAGCCTCATTGCTATAGCTTCCTCTCCTGGGCGGGCACCAGCGTCTAGAAGGCACATCTGACTTTTTGGAGATGCTGCCAACAACACCCACCAGTGAGGACATGTGCTGAGGTATGTGAGGGGGCATGGCAGACCCATGGTCAGCAGCCCTGGGTTGCGGCCTCCATGAATGAATCTGCCTGGGCACAAAGGAAAGAGGCTTCTGTTTACAGGAAAATATTCTGGTTACCTAGTAACCAGTAATGACAGGAAAGGAAATGCAGGAAATGCTGAGGGCAATCTCTGCGCCCGCTCCTGGCCTGACACTGACTCACCAGGACCAGAAGCAATCTCCTTTCATTCGTTCTTTCATATGCCAAGCGGAGGAACCACCTGCCTGACAGATATTTAGAAAACATTGGTCATCTTTGGGTAATTAGAGAAGAGCACACAAGCGTTTTTTAGTTCCCTTCCTTCTGATTGGCTAATTAACTTCCGCTTTGGAGAGCCACACAGCCTTTTACTTTTACTTTGGGGAGAGACACAGGTCTCCTCAGGCCATCAGTTCCTGCTCTCCTGTTGCTTGGTGGCATCTGGATGGCACCTGGGTTCATTTTCCCCCCAAAAGGCAATTAATTTCCTATGACCAAGAAGCAATAAGTCCAGAACACTCTCAAGAGTTCTTTCAAACCTGGGTCTCGTGACACTTGTACTGATATTCCCAGTGTTCATACAGTGACCAGAAAAATCAGGTCCATACCCTCTCTTGCACCCCCTTCAATCTGAGTCCGGGTCTAAGGAGCAAGTATTGAGTGGTTTAGATTCTGTCTTAACTGTACCCGATTGCGGGAAGCCCCTGCCAGCCCTCACTGTAGCCCTGTTCAGTTCTAGGCACCAAGAGGAGATTCCCACGTTTGAGGAACTAAGTTTCCATCTCTCCTTGCCGAAAAGTGGATGCTTTCACAGTCCATGATGGTAGAAACCATGTCCTTTCTCGCACTTGGCCCAGCAGACCCTAATGCAGGCGTCTCAGGTGGACATTCTCTGTCCTGGGCACTGTGGGGTGCTGAGAGGCATCCCTGGCCTCTGGGAGCACCCCCTGCCCACCCTGACTCTCTAGACCAGTGATGGCGAACCTATGACACGCGTGTCAGAGGTGACACGCGAACACATTTTTTTGGTTGATTTTTCTTTGTTAAATGGCATTTAAATATATAAAATATCAAAAATATGTCTTTGTTTTACTATGGTTGCAAATATAAAAAAATTTCTATATGTGACACGGCACCAGAGTTAAGTTAGGGTTTTTCAAAATGCTGACATGCCGAGCTCAAAAGGTTCGCCATCACTGCTCTAGACACTGCCAATGTCGCCTGGAGGGCAGGATTGCGCCGAATGAACATGCGACATTTAAACAAACATGCGACGTCTGAGAAGTGAGCTGGATAAATGTCACTTGAGTGAAATGAACTTGTTGACAGGTTAAGAATAACAAAGAGGGGACTATAGTGACCTGGACATGAAATTGTTACAATCTGTCAGACAATGAGTGTGCGATTAGAGAGGGGAAAACAAGGGACCTTTTAGAGGCTCCCCACCATTTCCAAGAGAATCCAATTCCAACTCCCAGCAAGGGCAATCCAGTAGTCCTTTGCCTAAACTTTTGGGGCATCCTGTCATTCCTCTGGCAAGTCTTAACTTTTTTCTTTTGCAGTGGACTTTGAGGGATCAGAGCTGGCCCTGAGTTTCTCTGGAATAAAGTATCTTCAGAGTTCAAATTCCTTTTTCTTTTGGTAAGAACTGGGCATCTGTTCCTGTTTTCTTCTCAGCAGCCAAACTTTCCCTCTTTTTCCAGCAGAGGACCAGGCCCAAGCTCTGGAAACTGGGCTTGGGGCAGGAGGCAGCCAAGCCCCTGTCGGCTCCTGAAGTCACAGGCTGTCATCCTCGGTCACATGGGACAGTTGCCTTTCCTCCTGTCCTAATGGGAACACTCTCTTATTTCCCTCTTATAGCACATTCAACTACTAATATAAACTGTCCAAGCTCAGGTCTGTTACCTCATCTTAAATGGGATCTGATTTTAGTTGCAAGTGACAATTCCATGTATTCAGGGGAAAATGGGAATTAAAAAACCTTCACTGGCATTTTCACCCAGCACATGTTTTAGGCAAGCTTCTGATGCCAGCTCTAATTAGCAAAAACTTAAATACCACAAGGCTTGGTGTCCAGGACATGAAAATCCTCCCCAGGTTGGGGGCAGGTGCCCCAAAGTTCATCGCATCAAAAGAAATGGGAACTGGGGGCTGTGTGGGAGACCAACT